TGTTGGAATTGCTTCTATGGCAGTTATGATAAGGATAATTACTTAGATATACCAGAGAATACTTAAAGGGAAGGGAAGCTTGTAACACCTTGTGTTCTTCTAGTCTTCCTATGTATTCTCCTTCTATGTATACCCTCTCTTTTCTTTTACAAGCCTGTCAGAACAGATGACCTGGTAGGTTCAGAAGTTACAAATGTATGTGTCCTTGTGAATTGTGACCTATGTGTGGTCTCATTAGACACTGCCTAGTGTTAGAGGTGCTCTGTTTGGTGTTCAACAGAATGCCTCAGGGCCATGCTATTGTGTACACATTAGCCAGGTTTGGGCTTGAGAGCGAAGAATATTCCAATGGAAATGTTACATTGTCCTGCCTTTTTGGTTGGGATGAGATTAATTCAAAACTTGTCACACAGTGTTTTAGCCAGCCTGAATTTTTTCTGCCATATCAGTTTTGTTTGATGTAACATCATGTCTAATGCTGAAAACCCACAGTGTTGCGCTAGAAACAGTAGGTGCAACAATCCCTTGAGGTCATGCTCCTTTGGAAAATTTTGAAACCTTAACCATCTAAAACACTATTTCCTGCATTTCATCGGCAGAAAAATTCCATCAAATGATCAAAAGAAAGACAGACGCTGGCCAGAACACTGCTGTCACGTATCATTGTCGGATGAAAAAGAATTACTAGTACATGTAACAAAAATGATGAGACAACATATCCTTATTGTGCTTCAAACCTTAGTTTTTGTTTGTCAAATGTAATGATAGTTGTATTGAAACCTCATCTTTTTATTTTTTTCTTAAGCAGATGGGCAGGAGACCCCGCCCAAGGAGAAGGTTGAGATCATCCACAGGGACCACGAAGCAGCCAAGGACAAGGTTCCCCCTCCCCCTCCCCAGAGAAAGTACTACATCACAGCTGACTACGACGACAGGGACTACTCCTCAAAGGTGGGCTTTGTTTAGTCTCAGAACAAAGGTTTATATATAGGTTCAGCTTCCTTGTTACTAATCTAACGAAATTGCAGTGTAAACACAGGCTAATTTTTGACACATTTTTAGCTGTTTTCGTCAGGATTTCTCCTTTGCACTGGTATACTGCTTTTTTACATGGATTCTGCCCTGCCAATTTGATACTGTCTTGCAACCACCAAAGGACCTGCTTGGAGATTCGACTTTGTCCGCTATAGTTGCCTTAATTAGTCAATCATCAGAGTGGCTTTGTGGACATGAGATTGAGAGGTCACAGGCCATAACCCTGTACAACAAAGAACTGTCAGAAGTCATGCTTTATGTTTCCTAAACCACATCTGTACATGTACAGAAGTCAAAAGGTTTGCTTGGAATAAAATTGAAGTATTATAAATGTATATCAGGGATGTATCATCCGTTGTAATTTGTGTACGCAAGCTTCTTGTAATTCTGGGAGTTTTATTCCTGCTGTAAGGTTTGGTGTCACGTATAAATAAATACCAGGTAAATCAGGAGCTTGACTATGTCACTTACAGTAGCCCAATCACATATAAAAGATCAGCTTTATAAACTTGTTTCTCGCCCTCTCCAGACCAGCCTTGGTGCACCTCCCCCATGGACGCCCCCTGGTGGAACCTACCAGGACTACAAGAACGGAAACCTGTACAGCAACCCTTACAACAACTACTCCAGCTACCCCGCAGTCAGCGAGCACTCCTATGAGCGCGCCAGCATAGCTTCCCGCGCCTCACGAGCGTCAGAGGCAGCTAAAAAACCTAGAATGATGACGCATGTATAGAAACGTTGTGGGTGGGGGGATATGCACATTTTGATTTAGTGCGATAGAAAACAAGGCAACGACAAAAACATACATACATAAAATGCCTGGTCATGGTAGTGTTTCGTTCATCAGTTAGACTGTAGATATGTAATGGTGTAGCTAAAAATCGAATTCTCTGCCATGGTGTATGGCAGTCTCTTAGATAACCATATACTTAAGTATGACCATTTTCTGTGGTGTGGAGTCCTAGCCGGGTTACCAAACCTATTTTAGCTCCTGAGTCCTTATCCTCTCTGTTATTTGTGGTCTGGTAACCAGGCTAGTGGAGGCCATGCAAAAGCTCTCTTAGGCCACACCAATTTAATTTGTTGGTTCTCGGATTTTTTCAGAAAAAATATGAAGCGACAGGGCGAAAAAAAATAGAAATAAAAAACAGGTCTAGGCATCCTACTATAGGCTTAAATGCTATGGAATGAGCCATGAAGTCAACACAAAAGGCTGGGTTAAAATTTAAATATTGAATTTTGAACTTTTAATCAAACCACTGCAATGATAGATGGGAAAACTGTAACAACTAGGAAGGAAAGGACTTTCCTCAACTGTTGGGGGCAAAACATGAGCATTTTTCAGTTGATTCAGGACCAGAATCAAATTTTTTTTTTTTTTTGCAAATCAGAAAAAAACGAAGAGGCGAATCCGAGAACCAACAAATTAAATTGGTGTGGCCTTAGTACTTGTCTAGTACTCCATTATGTATCATGGCTCAAACTTCCCAAGTCCAACTGACAATGCTGACCTGTACTCTAGCTGCCAGAGACTGAGTGCCGTTTTCCTTCCGTATAGTTTCTTCTACAAGCACTGACAGGCAGCCAACACCAACAATCATTATTTACAGATGTAAAACTTGGTAGAAGAGGACCTGCTGTAACCTGTAGTGTTGGTATTTGTACTTGTGAAGGAGAGACGAAAACATGCAGTGAAGACATTCTTGTGATAGTTTTTGATACTCGAACAAAGTATATATACTTGAGTTTATCTGTTGCAAAGGTGTTGAAAGGTCTTTTCAATGAAGAGAGTGATATGTGAAATATACTGATGGTCTAATTACTCATTAATTACTCAAAATTGTCATTAGAAAATGTTATTCCACTGTTTACAGATTTTGTAGCACTGTTAAATCCATGTCCAGGTATATATTTCGTCTTCATAGTCAAAGATGTACAAGTCGAGGTATACAGTGAAATCAAGTGTATTACATGTACTAAGCTACTCAGACTGCTAAAAGGTGAACAAATGCAACTGCACTTGTCAGTGGAAAGACACTGGCAG